CAGCCACCCCCAGGGACCCCGCAGGGACAAGGGCTGCTGCCTGTCCTCCCCAGTGGTGTTCCCAGTGCCGGGATGCTCACGGGAAGCGGAGCTTCTCAGCTCCCTCTGCTGTGTGTCAGGGGCACAGGGACTGCAGAGCTGTGGCCACTTCGGCCGCATCAGCCATACTGTGGGCAGCACTGACCTCTGAGAGCTTTGGCACTGACTTCCTCCAAGCGACAGCACTTGGTGAAATCCAGAGGCACAATCCCACTGCTGAAGTCTACACTCTACCCCTTCACCCACCTGCAACCAAACTGTTTTGAGCATCTCTTTCAGAACAGCAGCTATGGAGCATTTGCTGGATCAAAGGGACTTCTGAAGATACTTGAAGGAGCTGCAAAACAGCCAAAGTATCTCCAAGAGCTTTGGATCTCTGTCGAGAAGACATGGCCTTTCTGGGAGCCTCCATTCTGTGTGGCATTCAGCAAACCAGAGCTCTGAGCGACACAGGAGGGCACAGACGCCCACCGCTTCGCGGGCCCTTCCCTCCCTGTCCCTTCCAGCGGTGCAGGAACTCGATCTGCACAACCACTGCGGTGTGAAAGCTCCGGGATGATACAACTTGCCCCCCTCCTCCGGAGCCCAGAGCACCCAACATCCCTCATCGATGGGAAACGGGGTCCCCATGTCCATAAAACCTGGGTGTGGAGCGTTGACCAACAGCTCTGTGGCATCATTCAGCCTTTACTGACCCAACACCAGCAGAAAGACCCTGCAGGTAGAATATGATGAACTCCAGCTTTTTTGTGGTTTTGTTCTGGTTTGCTGTCTGCATGGATGTTCTAATAGGAAAAAACCGTGGTATTTTCTGGCTTTAACTACCCACCTATTTGAACACAGATTTTTTTTTTTGGGGTAGCTGTGGCAGGTGTTAACCAGAGGCCGTATGTAGTTTTCCTCCCTTCACAAGAGAGTTGCTAAGCAAATACTACAGGATTAGTACTAAGATACAAAAAACTGAACTGTAGTAGCTTGAGGTGCTCACCAACACCATCGGAAAAACCAGAGCAAGCATCAGTCACGGACGCTTTCCCAATCTGATGGAACGCCAGTGCTGCCGGAGCAGGGATGGTACCGATGAGATCCACAGCCCAGATGACGATCAACAGTAGATCATATAATTAGGAGAGATGTTATTTTGGTCAAATAGCAGCAAGAACACCAAAATGGTTGTGTCAGGTTTCTCAGGCTGAGGGACTTCAGCCTGTCCACATGGAGGCTGACAGAGGACTTGGCGACTGCCTGCTGATGCGAGTTGGCCCCTACGAGCATCTTGAGATGAGGCAAGTAAAACAGGGAGCTGGGACAAGCTGAAATCAGAGGGCACGTGCTCCCAGCAACACAGCTGGCCACAGCACACATTTCAGTAAGTTATCTCAAATTCAGGTCACATCTTCAAGAACAGATTTCAGTGATCAGCAAAACCTGTATGACTTGACTGAACCATCAGTGGCAGAACCTTCACCAGGCTTCACAAGCCAGGCTCTGGCAGAGCAATGCACCCTCCGGCCTTAAAACCTGAGAGTTTTACAGGAATCTTGTTTTGAGAATGAAATCAGGAAGGGCAATTTGCTAGGACAAAGGAATAAACTTGTTTCCTCCTACTGGGAAAGCAGAGGGGAAGAGATGGAACCAGAAATGCATACGAAAGCACATGGCTGCCTGTCTCCGTGTCAGGCACATCCCCTAGGCCAGGCACTTCCCTCTCCAGCACGTCCCCGTGCCGAGGCGTTTTCTCTGCGTGGCTTTCCAGATGCACCTAAAAGCTCCTTTCTCTGCGCTGAGGCTGCAGCAGCAGCACTCCGACACCCGGCGTCACAGGCGCAGCGCCCACGCACCCCGGCGCAGCCCTCCCATGCCCACCTCAACTCCACCACGAGCCCACTGCCACCTGGGCAAAACGCACTTCCACCCGAAAATTGTACAGAATCAGGTCTGTTCCCCTCCGCAGTTGGCACTGCACAGCTGACAGCACTTGTCCCAGCTCCCCCATGTTAGGAACTGCTCAGGGAAGCTGCACCATGGGGCCTCTGCGCTCTCGGAACGAGTGCCCTGGCTGCACGCTCGCCTCCTGGCAGGGCAGTGCCACTCACACTTCAGGTGCCACAGTGCTGCGCCGTTCCGGTTAGAGCAGCCCCCAAGTCTTTTGTGAACTGAGTCACTGGAGGGGTGAGCCGGTCGCCCCCCGTCCCCGCCGCGGCCCAGAAGCAGCCCTGGCAGAGAATTCACTGGAACAGGACAAAAACTGGGGTCAGACCACACATACTGGGTCCTAATGTGTTACGTGTACCAGGATCTGGGAATAAAATGTACAGGCTCCTCACTAAACCAATATCTAACACTGACCAATACATAACAGGTTACCTACTACGAATATTTATACAGGACAGATCTGGAAAACAGTATTTTCCACACTTCAGGAACAGTTAAGATCTATGTTCCTGTCAAACTACATGACCTGCATTTCAATACCATGTGAAGAAAAAAGTCCAAAATTGTTTTACTGAATAATCATTAACTGAAACAAAGACTTTACTAAAGACTTAACCAACAAAAACCTATTTATTTATTCCAAACACCAAGATACAGAAGTTTTCAAGTTTCGCAAATATTGCTCCAAAGCAAAACTCTATGTACAGCGCCCTCGGTTCTCATAGTGCATAAACACAAACACACTCATGTACCCACAGTGCAATGTTTGCTCATTTCACCAAGGCTCCACGTTGCATCCACTTACCAGTGATTTAAAGAAACAAAAAAGTGACCTGCCAGACCTGACCACTTGGTCCAGACTAAGAAATCATGTGGAAACTTGCAAAAACAGAGACAAAAATGAATCCAGGCAGAGCACAATAAAGAATCTTTCCCGAACATGAGAAACACTACTCTAATTTCAATAAATATTTTCAGTCTTTATCTGCAAGGGCTGCCCTGGCTCTACGAAAGGAAAACACGTCTCCGGTATTTGTCATGGGATTCGCCCATCACAACTGCCGTTTCTTCCAAATCTTCAGTACTGCCCTGAGCAAAAATAAACTGGCAAAGTGAAAACGTACAACGGACACACAAGAAGCAACTGCGTGGGAAGAAGTTCCACTCTGGAGTGAGACGTCTGCTCAGGAACCGAGCTGCTCGGATGCCCTCGCACTGCACGCGCAGCCGACTCGTTAACGCCAGGCCACGCGCTCCGAGGCGCCCGGCGGCAGCGCGTGCTCTGCAGAGCTCAGCCCGGGAACTCTTTTCTGGCTGATCTCACCTGGAAAACCCCAAAACCTCCACGGCTGTCCGGGGTGCTGCTCCCGATGCTGCTCTGGTTGTTCCAGAGCTACACGGCACCCAGGAACTCTGGTGTCATCACCAGGAGTGAGACGACGTGCGAGCACTGCTCTCGCCTTCAGAGGGTGAAGCGATTCCTAAATATCTCGTACGCTTTATCCCGCCTGTGTTACACACCTTGTATTCCCTACATGCCAACTAGTACTATACAACTGTGAGACAAATTATTCCCTGAAATGAGGCTTGGCACAAAAGCCTTAGTTACTATCTAGAGTAGCCTAATTATTTTGTTTTCTGAAGGAAATAAAATATTCACTGTGTAGATACCGTTAACTTCTACGATAATATTGGATATTTCAAGTTTACATTATTCTTTGCAGTATACAAACATTACAGCTTCATATCCAAAAGTAATAATTTGTACAGTTACGGGCCTTTCAATTACAACTGTGCTTAAATTTTACCCTTTGGCGGTCCCACCACACGCAGTAAAACCAAGGTGACAGACCCAGCTGTTGAGGACACCCTCTCACCACAAAAACAGCTTACTATTTTCCACAGTGAACTTAACTCAGCAACGCTGGGGAAGGAAACCGAAGTCACCGTCGCTGTTCACGGAGCTCTGATCTGCCGCTGAAAGACTCGTGGCGTCTCACGTACTTACACCACCGTTTCACAAGGGACTGTGTGACGTGGCTGGAGCGTGAGCAGCATCCCCACCTCGCCTTCACAACGCAACACAAACCAGAAAATCCAAACTGAAGGTAGAAAAGGGACTCTGAGCGTACACTGCTTAAGAAGATAAGCCACTCGCTGCCTGCGAGGACAGCGCCTCATGCATAGATCGAGGCTTTATTTACACAGATATAGAACAAACCAATCCCCAACCACACACTCTCAGAGGGTCGTCACACCCAACGCGGTCAGGGTATGGAAAAAAGTCTACGTTTCAAAACAGAACCGGAATGGCCGTTATTAACAAACGGGCAGAGAACGACGGAGCGTCCGTTACAGACCTTGCTGAAGCCTGGAACACCAGGCGCATCTCCAGTCTGTCACAGCGGTACCTCCCACCGCCCAAAGGTGTCCCACCAGCACTGCTCCAGCGGGCACGGCACGCTCCGCAACGCACGTCACCACAACGTTAACGGATTTCCCCGGTACCGAGTCACGCGATAGTGCCAGGATAAACATGGAAAACAATCATTTATTCTGAAAGTAAGTGCGACCCGCCGGCGGCCTCCTGCTACGTCACTGAACGTAGCAGCAGGGGTTCAGGCCACTGTCACTCGCAAACCTGCACGTAACGGGTTACAGCCGACAGCTGGACATTGCCAAGCCTGGAAACTGTCACATTTCCTAGTGATTAAATACTGGGTGCTATTATGCATAAACCAGAAGGAACAAAACATGACACGAGTCACTTGAACTATGCAGAGTTATTTACAACCTCGGTCAGCTAAATGTTTTTGGCTCTTAGAACTCTGTTCTTCAGTGGCACAATTTTTAGTCAGTTTGACTATGAAAAAGTCGACCGTTCCAAGGAGCAACTTGTAAGGAGTGAACATGTAAGTGTAATTCATCAACCAACACCCGACCTCTGAACATAAGTGTCATCTCTCCCATCTCATTTTAATTGCCTAAGAAACTCGAAATTATGAGATAAAATAACTTTTTTGCCGTTCTTTGAACAGTGCTTCTTCACAAATCCCTGAAGTCCATCTGCATCACATGCAACCAGCATGCTCATTTCATGTAAATACACAGAGCTGTTGGCATCAGATGCTCCAACTTCGCACTCCGTCATCTCCCACGCTTCCTGGTCTCACGTGGAGCAGCAAAGCGCGATCTGTTGCACTTTGCCGAGGTCCGTTATAAGCTGCTTTATGCAATGTTTGAGTTGTGGGAGTCGAGCTAGTGGTTCTGGTGGTTCCAGCTCTCCCGTGTAATCCAGCCAGCTCTCCAAAACTGCAACGAAAAACACAACTGTCACTATTCCAGTTCTCAAAGAGACCACCTTAAGTCACAAAACAGGAATTCTTTAAAGCTCTTGTGAATCTTGAGTGCACACTGGGCAGTGTTTTTAACATGTGGTGTTTGAGAAATCAGAAATCCAGGCTCCTCACACCAGTCTGCAGAAAAAAAGCAGATGTTCCTAGGAGAAAGCAGGAAAGCAAAACTCAGGACTAGATATTGTGAAATCCGATGCTAAACTTCCTCTGATCTGCATCAATCCCAGAGCAAGAATACTGCAGTACAGGAAACTTCTACCATCAGAATACCTTTCAGATCAGCATTATATGCAACTAGGTGGTATTTCCACTGAAGATCCTACAAGGACAGGACTGTGCTAATGAAAGAGGCTTGTCGTCAATACAGAACACAACTGGCCAAGACAGAGCTCCGTAACAGAAGACAGGGATGAAATCAAAGCTCAGGCAGACTGCTGCACAACGCAAACCAATCCCTGCTCTACAGCTTCTCAGTGGGACACAAGAACCGCACGTACTACTGGCCAAAGACAACTCGGGCAGCAATGCAGCATGACCACCAGAACAGTGGCCACACTGAACTGGGATGGGTGCAGGGGACAGGACAGCACCACGGAAGGAGACTGAAACCTTGGGGACAGACCACGTCTGCCAAGACAAGCTGCAGGGGCGGTTGCCACGAACTAGATTACAGGCTAGATCAACCTAAGGGCAGCACCTGCTGAAGAACCAGTGGGCACTGCCCAACTACTGACACATCCAGCCTTGAAATCAGAAAATTCCTGACCAGAGCAGCAATGCTCCGAGCAGTCCTCCAGCTCAGCAGCAAATACAAAACACCTGACTTTTGCAAACTAGCTTCTTGATTTATGAAACAAGTATTACGATTACAGGCCTGATTGATCTTCATTACCTGAAATATTCCTTTAGTTGTTCAATTTTTCAGCACCTTACTGAACTACAAAAAGACGAGCTCACTTTGGTAAAGGTTAGAGAAGAAAGAAAAGCTTGCAAGAAAAGCTGCTGCTGTAACTACTATAAAACCAACCGTCAGACTTCAGACATTAAGAAAAAGAACTATCCTGGATTGTTTTAATGTAACACAGAGTTTAGAAGTTTCTCATTACTAGGAAAAAAATTTCAAGAGACATTTAAATAAAGAATTTGGAAGAGAAAGGAAAAGATAAGAGCCTCGTGCACCACAGAGGCCACCAAGAACAGGCTGAAACAGTCAGCAAGGTCCTGAAGAACAGGGAAGTTCATATACACAGAAGCACTATGGAAAATGACAAAAACCTGAAAGCAAAGATGACATGGAAGATATTCCAGTACATCAGCTGATGCAACTATTTAGAGGTGATCTAACCACAACTCTTCCCATAGAATTCTGCTGGTTTAACTTGATCTTTGTTTTAAAATCTGCCCCCCCATCAGTAGCATGTCTATTTTCTATCCGTAAATGCCGTAAATCTGACAGAGCAATGCTCGTCTCTGTCGGTCTGCAGAAGTAACATTCAAGGTAACGTGTTTTGAACAGGTAGTTCAGTTAAACCCAGTTAATTTTTGAAACAGGAAAACATTACCTACCATCTAGCTCCTTCTCAATGAAATCCATTCTGTGGATGACTTCATCCTGCAGAGATTCCACATGAGCTAACAGATTAAGCTGCCACTGCAGCTGTGAGTTCACAACTCCTTCTTTGTCTTTTTCCAGCAGTTTCATTTCAATAGCTTCCTCTGGAGACACTTTCTTAGAGGCAGACTCTCTTACCTAGCAGAAATGCAGACATTAATATTTATTATGGTGACACAGATTTGGTGAGCCAGACTGGCTGGAGCCTTAGAGCTACCCAAGCTAACTGCTCAACTGATCTTGGGCTAGTGGAGGACAGACACACGGACAAGAAATCATACACAAATATTAAGGCAGTGTGGGCAGGAAGATCCAAGTACAGACATGCTTTTATAGATATTTTGCTAAGACCTATTCGGTGCACTTCACAAGCACCTGATTTGGAAAAGATAACAGACACATCGCTGGTTCCCTGCCAACTTCCAGCTGGAAGATATGGCTCTTACTCTGTGCATCCCAGGGAACGTTAAAGCCATTTTTAACATGACAGCAATCAACTAAAGAGTGATTTTGCAGTGAGAAGGGATTTTTTCCTGAAGGAATCTAGTCTCAATTCTTCTAAAACTTTCATCAGAGCATCTAGAAAAAACCCACACTACCACCACTTATAAAACTTGACTATGCTGTCAGCAGTGTTGCTTCTACTCCCCTACTTTTTTCATCGTTCTGCTGAAATATGACAGGATTTACAAAAACTTTCCTAAAAGACCAAGGAACTGAAATATATGCCTTTCTGGGAAACATAAAGCAGTCTCAATTGATTCGATAGAGAAGTTAAAAAGAACAAATTACAGCTCACATATGCGACAAATAAAACCTTTTGATCTAAAACCAGGAGGTCGATATTTCCCAGAGGCTCCCCCACACGTGTCAGGCCATATTCCATATGACTTGGCACTAACGGCAGCACAATTTTTGCATTGTGGTGTAGAAAGGCCTCTGATAGACCTGAGAACAAGAACCAAGAGCTGAAAAGATAAAACTTGAGTGCTCCAGCAGGAAGAAGATACAGGACTATTCAATGGTGATCATTCTTAAAAAAAAGATAATCAGTTCAGGCTATTTCCCCCCACCCCCCCATGAAATGCTGCCTGAAGAACCCGGAATCAATTTAGTTAATGCTCCCATGTTTTTTTTTAGCAGTTACAAGACAGAAATAACTAAAAGCTGGAACACCAGTGTATTTGGTAGTACCCATACACGCTTGCCCTGTTTTCTATCGCGTTGCTAGTGTTTAATTTTACATTTAACACACATAAGAGTAAGCAGCAATTAACTACCAGTGGACCATAATGCACGTTCTACAGACTGTGCAAGTGATCTAAGGTCCAAAAGTCCTCTTCAACCTAGATTTTCTTGACTATTATTGGAAATGGAGGAGTTGATCACATGTAATATTTTAATTCATATGGGCAACCTAAATTTAACAGTATAGAAAAAAACTGCACACAAATAAACAACCTAAATACTACTAAAACGGTTAGAGTTTTGCACTTTGCCAGGCAAACACATCCTCTATGCAGAGAGGATTATTTTAATACAAATACCTTGGAGTAATTGTGTTTGGATTCATTTTCCATCTTGCAAATTTCTCGGTCCAGATTCCAGCCAAATCTCTCAGACAGGGCATCATCCCCGTTTTCCCTTATTCTGTTTACTCCATCATCCATGGCTGACCCCCTTGTTTCCACCACCAACCTCTGCTCTGTGGCAGGGTAGTAGGCTCGAGGCTTCTGGTAACAGTGTTCACTCGTAATGTAGGACTCCTCTGCAGAAGGAACGGCTGAGGGTTTCTCAACTGTCCCGTTCCAAGTTCTATAACTGGCTGTCTCCTCTTTGCAACAGTTCTCCTCAATGTGAATGATGTGTTTTGCATGAATTTTTTCATCCACTGTGATGTGTTTCCACGGATGGCACCAAAGCTTTAGGTCAGGATGTTCTTTATTTCTGTTCAAACACAAAAAAAAGTAAAACATCCAACAAATCAAATTTCAAAGTGACTGAGCAAACTATTCTATTACGTAAAGAAATGGAGTAAGAATATTGGAGCTACTACATGCTTTAGTCATCACAATTAGTAAAAAATACCCCAAATATTGTGAAATAATATAATTTCACTGACCTCCAATGTGCATCTTCCTACAATGTTCTGTTAGGTTCACTATTTTTATTTCTATAACACCGTATATAAGCCAAGTGTTGGCATTAAGAAAAAAATTGAAGAGTAAGTTTCAAATAGATACATACAACTTTTCACTAACGCTGCCCTTGAAGGAGCATTTTGCTTCAATATGTGCAATTTAGTAACAGCATAAACTGATTTCACTGGGATATTTTGGCAATATTTTGAACAGCTACATCATGTACACTGAAGCTAAACTAAGATTTTAACAATTTTAAACTCTGGTAAAACAAAAAGACGACTTTTTGTCTTACCAGAGATTAAAATTGTTAAAAGGTAAAACAAAGACTCCCTGGTTCTTGGTAAAACAAAACATGTCTGTCAGGCATGAAGACAGCAGTAAAAAGGAGAGCAAAACGGAATCCATCTGCCTGTCTTCCGAGGGCAGGCAGCTTATCTGCTAGAGGCTGCAAGAACACAGCAGCAGCAGCTCCTGACCCTAAAGCACCCGCGTTCAGCTGCGCAGAGAAGAAGGGGTCTGCCCCAAAACCCCACTCTGTGCTTCCTGGCAAAGGCAGATGGAATTACTCCACTAAGCTGATCCAGCTTTTTTCCAGCTATGAGCCAAACCACGACCATTTTACTTCCAGAGTAACTGCTTTCTCATCCCTTCTACAGTATCTAAGGTTACTTCAGTGCCTGTCAGAGGAAACTACAGTGAGAGCTGCAAGGACTTGCTCAGAGCACTTTACACAAGCACCTCTGCCTCCACAACTGCATGTCTACGGCATCCTTGTGAGCAATCCTGAAGGCATGCCTAGGGAAGCGAGAGCCAAGAGCTCATCTACCAAAGCATTCTATTCCAGCTCCACTGGTATTCTACACCTAAAGGCACTCTGGCTCAGCAAAGAGCAAGGGATAACTTTACAGAAGACAGAAAATTGCAAGATGAAGTGCCAGCTACTTGAGGATGAAAATTCAAACACTTCACACCGGAGCAACCTTCTACTGAAGGCTGGCTCTCCCTCCCATTGCACCAAAGCTGTCAGGGTCACCTCTGATCCTTTGCCACCTCCTTGAAACACTGAGCAACACTCCTAATAATTTCAGGCAGCTGCAAAGTCATCTCCTCTCCCTTAGAGGGTAGATCTGCATCAATATAATCATTCTTCTAATGCAGCAAGTTTTAAAATCCTTTCTGATTTACGTAACAATAAAGAAACTAGGGGCTATAGCTTTTAACAAGACCACCTAACAGGACCACAGCTCATCTTTAATCACGTCATCACACCAGACTTCAGAATGGGAGAGAAAAAGGAACAAAATCTTTAACAAGCATCACATATTTGCCCAGTGCTCCACACCTTAGTGCTCTGCACATCTCAATTTACAATAGGAAAGCCATAATCTAAAGTCTTGCTATTTAAGAAAATGCTTAAAGAGTGGTCTTACAATATTTCTGCTCCACCCTTGCCCAAGAACAAAGATACTACTTACAGATCTGACTAAAGGATACCATAATGGAAAAGCAAAACCTTATGTCAAAATTGCTCCTCTCTTGCTTTAAGCATTATTCCATTGTTTAAGCATTTCAGGTACTGCCCGTGGCCCTACTGCATCACCACAGATTACATTTAAGGGAAAAAGTGCTAAAGAACACTGGAAACGCTAAAAGCTTTGCTTTCCAAATAGCTGCTGCTGCGCAATTCGTCAACTAATAAATTATAAATATGGAACTCAATCAATTTAAAACTACTGGATTTGAGTCAGTAAAAGATTTTTGCAGTCCTCAGAACCCAAGGATGACTTTAAACAGGAAAGGATGGAGAAAACTTGATTTCCACAGTGAATACAGAATGTTATTTTTCTTCTTATGCATCTGCAACAATCTTTGCACAGAAATGAATTGCCACAGGTTGCGGAAGGTGCAGCTGTTCTCCCACTACAACAGAGCAACACATTATGCTGAACAAAACCATCTGATTTCTGCTGGAAAAGCTCTGATTAAGAATTACTGGAATGAAGAAGGTAAGTGTTAAAAGAATGCTGCCACAGGTTATAGGCCTATCCTCTTCTTGATACTTGAACCCATTTAGATCCTTCAGGCAAAGTTGTTATTAGTTATCCTCCTGTCTCCTTCATGCTTCCCCAACCCTTCTATACACAGTCAATTTACACCCCTCACCACGCTTAAATTTTTTAAAAAAAACAAGTCCTTTTCCAAGATCACATTAGCAATTCAAATTATGCTATATATCCACAAAGAAGCACAAAAATAGGACTGAATTTCTGGTTATTCTTCTACTATTTGAAATCCAATTCACATTGAGAACATGCCGACGGATACTTAAATACTGCTTACTGTAATATGCTCATCTTCAGCTGCAGTCCATGCAGTACTTCTATCACTCTCTGCACATCGCCAAGAAGCTGGTGAGTGGCTACTATCTTCTTGGCATTCTGGTGGGAATAATTTTCTTCCAAAAACGCTAAGCCATGCATGTGACCATTACTTAACCACTCCTTCTCATACCAATACTTTAAGCTGGACCTCTGACCTAGAGCAACAGTAATGAGTGTGTTAAAATGAAGCATTAACTAAGGCACATTAACATTACTGGTAGTAATTCTGATTATCTTAAAGTCTTGCAGTTGCGTATTTTTCTTATCAACAGTAGTAATAAAGATCCTATAATAGCAGACAAATCCATGAAGACACGAAGAACTTTGGAAGCGGGAAGTGAGATGATCTCAGTGAAAAACATCTGCCCAACTGTAAAAGCATTCAGATCCCAAATTCCAAAGGACATCCACACAGGTAATCACAGCTGATGCACAGAGAAAAGTGTATTTTTAGCAGAGCATCACAATCTAGTAACCATGGTTACAACTAAAGCCACAGTTTGAATACAGCTCTCTGCAGACAGAACGATGCAGCAAAAGGCAGTGAACTTCCCTTTTCCAGTAGTCTTGTTTTTAAGCATCGTACATGTATTAGTACAGTCATTCAAAAGTAAAATTTAAACAAATCAGTGATGAGGTTCTGATGGAGAACTTGTCCAAGACAGGGTATTAATAATACTAATTCTAGGTTAAGAAGTTGGAATATCAACAACAGCTGAAATGAAATCAGGTTCAATGTGATAAACGCATCAGTAAAAGTAACTGAAGAAGCCAAAGAAAATGGTATTAGCAGGAGAGAGAGGAATTTCAGATGCTTGCTAAATTGCAAAAACACAAACAAAAAAATCCAAGCTAAAAACCCAACAGAAGCCCACACACCCCCTGTGAAATGTATTGTTTCAACAGATGTTCTCAGAAGACCAGCTCAGCACCCGGAGAAACACCACACCGTTCACTGGCCCAGTTACAGCCCAGTCAGCACACCTACGAAATCAGAGGTAACGCTGGAACACAGACTCAGAATGATATCCACAAAGAAGTCTCCAATATAAGCAGGTTAATATTGACTAGAAGTTTCAGCAGTTAAGGAGAAGCTAAAAAAACCCAGAGAGTTACTGGGCAGCAGAGTAAGAATGGGGGATCACACCACATGTGTATCAAGCGGCACCACTACCCGTGCTGTTAATTTTGGCACGAGGAAGCAAAGCACATCTCTGAGAAACAAGCAGAACTCAGTCACAGGTATTTATTTATATGCTTTTGGATGGTAGTTATAGATTGGCAGCATAAATGGTTTCTATACCACGCCCTGTATGAACATCTGTGGCCATAAAGGACAATTTCAAACTTGAAAAACAAATTTTCAAGGCTATAACAGCTCAACTTTTCCGGCAGATATGCTGTTATCAAGCAAGAGATCTTCTAGGTACAGCCAGAACCACTTTGGAGACATTCCTGACATACCTGTATTAACCTATTTTTGTGTTAGAGAAGCTACTATCTGTGGTAGAATAATGAAGTTCGGTCCACGAGAATAAAATCGTGAATTTTAGAACTCCATGGTCATCTTAACACCACTGAGATGACCCAGCCTGTCCATGGCATTGTTTACTTGGTGATGTACCCAGACAAAAAGCGTAGGTGTTTAAGCTTCAAGAGAAGAAACAAGACAATACCCAACAACGTATGCTCTCTGTGGCTTGAGTGAACCCATCACATCATAAGCATCTTGGACAATGTTTAAGCAAGGGTAAATGTTAACAAATCTCTTAAAAATCCCACTAGACTCAAAAAAAACTGTCTAAAATGACAGTTAGTACAGGTTTTAAGCATAATTATATTAAATGTGCTTTTACTTCCAGTAACATGAACAGTGATGTTACAAGTCCCAACACTAAACTGAGGAAAGCTCCTAAGTAAGAGTTTGCTGAATGGCTACGCCCAGTTTTAAAAGCAAATTATCTGCAGATTCATAAAGCCCATTTAGCTCATTTCAAGCCAACAGCAGATTCATCGAAATTGAGAAGCTGCTTTTGCAGTCAGAAAGTTGGATATGTTTTCCTTTTCTAAGAGAGGTAAAAATTATGCCCAAATTAAAAAAAGTTTCAGGATCTTCCAAGCAATAGTTATTAAAAGTGACTAAACTAATGAAGCAAATGAAGTGTTAATTGTCGTCAGTTTTCACCAAGAAGCATTCTGACAAAGTTTCTGACTAAATACAAGCAGTTCCTGTGTGATGGCACAAGAGTCTGCAGGTGCACTTTAGTTTAAAAACTAACTCAAGTTGACACAAATCAAAGTGTCTTGAAAATAAAGGGTGAAAATCCTGGGTGCAAGATACTGTAAGAAAACTTAAATAAGCATTAAACCATTTTACTACTTAGATAACTGAATATAAACACAGCGTGTCTTCCTTGCTATGGAGTAAAAAAAACATTAATATACAAACTACACAAATCAATGAGTTAAGCTACCACAGACTTAGTAGTTTTAGCAAAAAAAAAAGCACAGATCACAATCCAAAGATGTATATAAACCTAAAAGGTTTGTGATTAGACAGAGATCCCATTTTCTCACAATTTATGAACATGGACTCAAGCCCGAAACTCATGTTTCCACGTTCAGCAAGGCTTTATAACTTACGGAGTAGGAAGCCAGGAAAGATCCAGAACGGAGTAGGAGTAGGAAGTTAGTTACTTCAACTTACGGAGTAGGAAGCCAGGAAAGATCCACATAGCGTAATTTTACCTGCTGCATAAGATGGACTAAGATATTTTAAAATACATTGACAGGAGTAAAAAATGTATTGCTTAATCTACCCTGACTGCGTTACCCAAGATAATTTGTATTTATATACTTGGATTGCAAGCGCCTTGCCATAACAAGCAGTAGCACATCACAGCTGCTGAGAACCAAGCCTGCTCTTGTTGGAGGAAAGCTGCAGTCACATCCCAGAGGATGTGCCCACGGGCAGTCTTTGCTTGAGTCTCTCCAGTGCTCCTGAATTCCTTTTCCACAGACAGACAGGACAATCCTTGTTAATGGTTAGTCTGTGACACAGGGGCACCACAGCGAAAACACTCCTTTCCATCCCCGTTCAGTTGCAATCCCACAACATCGACTCCTGTACATTCACATAAATCAGACTTTCTGTATCTGTAACTCATCTCAATTAGCTATAGCAACAAACACAGGGGAGCAAAAAAAGTCGTTTAATCTTTGCAATATACACAAGCTAATAAAATTACTACATATAAAAGAAGGCTCTGTAACCTTAAATTTCTGTACCTGGAGGATCTTGGCAAATATAGCAGGTGTATTTCTCAGGTACATTATCTTCCAGTAAACCCATACAGACTCCATGCTGCCAGCACAGACACTCTTCACACTGTTCAAAGCCAAGAAAAGCACATCAACAGAAATGAAGCCTACAGGAGCTCAGTAAGATTACCTCAATTAAGAGACACATCATCCACATATTTTAAGACAAAAAGGTGTATTAATACCCACCTCCCTCTTCCAGCTACAAGAAAATACATTAAAGAATCAGACTACAATAAAATTTGAAGGCTTCCCACACATTTTTCACATTGATTTCTGCAGAATGACAACAATTACGAAGTGGAAGCAGAGATATCCTGAAAGGTACAAAAACGTTCCCTTTGGAGATGAAAATCTTTCACAGGATGCACGCACACATAATCAGGACATAAAACAATATGCAATCAAGCTTGCTTTAGCAAAATATATCAAGTTTTCTGATTTAAAAAGTTCCCCTCTCAAACAGTAAATCACATTCAACTACAAAATCCAAGGGGTACTTACGTCAGATAGGACTAGTCAATATTGTGCTTTGCTGATCCTTGGATCTCTAACATTTTATCTACTTCAAAGATAGCTCTACCAATATAAAACTCAAGTGCAGATGCAGTTGTACTAGCTTTAAAAACTTGACGTCCTTCCAGGTGTGAGCAACCATTCTGACAAAGACTGAATACAATTTGGCCATAATTTTCAGTGCAGTTATGCTATTTAAAATGCAATCATTGTACTTAAAGCCATATTGTTTTAGAACAGGAAAAAACTATATCCACATGTTCTGTTTCAGTCACTTCCTCCCCCTACACTTTAACAAGCAGACAAAACTTCAACTGCAGCCTAAAGACCACTGAAAAAAGGGACAAAACCCCAAATAAGAACATTAAGTCAATTTTGATTTGAAACTGTGATGTCGGTTCAGAATTACCATTTTCACAAGCAGTGAGAGAACAGATCATAACCTTTATTTCTCACAGCACACGCCACAAGTTAATGTAGAGATCTCGTCAAATCGGCCAAGGTTTTCGAAGTGAGCTAACACAAATGCAAACAGCAACTGCAAGCAACCTTAGACACGGCTCCATCTCCTAAAAGATGCCAGCTCGATAAACATCTCATGGGCTGAGCACCACTTACACCACTTTTATTAACGCTCTTC